TATTGGCGTTTTCTTTGGTGATTCATTTAATCTATGTCACCAATACGCTTCACTTCTAGCCTGGTTCCAATCAATCTGGGGCCTCTGGAGACTTCGAATATTCACCGTTGCGGTACAGAAGGAAGAGGTTAACAAAAGAATCTTGATATTTCGCAAATAAAAAAAGGAAATTGAGGGGTTAGACTACATGGATTGAAACTAAAATAAAATGAAGCGAAAAGAAATATCCCATGGAAGTATTCCGTCTCGATTTAGAATCGCATTATCCATTTCAAACCAATTCTTGATACCGGAAATTCCCAGAATTAAGCAGTGCATGCATACCAGCATCGATCAATAGATCCCAAAAGTCATTTGGCACCTTGACAACTATCGAGCTTAAACTTAAAATACATATCTATTCATATTCTTGTGTATTGTTTATGTATATTGAATCACTTATTTTTAATTGAAAGGGATAAAATACACAGTTATAAGATTCAGAAGGAAAAATTGAAAACTCCTGGGTATTGTTGGACAAAGAACAAATTAATCGTTGGTGGCTAAAGACTAGGTATAAAATAGGTTTCATGTTCATCTGATATAACCACCAGAATTAGAAATCACAGACACGGCACTTATCGCGATCTCTTCCTACAACGAAACCAGCATGGACAACCTGTCAGCAAGCTGTATGATAAACGTGATTATTTTAATTTCCCTTTTATGAATTTTCCGTTTCTGGATGGCAACATCCCAGCGCCCTCAACCTTTGGTGTTTACATGTAGCAGCTGATTGCACATTCAAGAGCCTGTTCCCATTATCATGCTTTGCGTTTCAGAAGTCGTCGACTGACGGACAACCCGTTTCCACTTACGTTATTTTTTGTCATAGGAAATAACCCATATAATTAATCAATCTCTTTATGAAATCAAATCCTGGTGTTTTGTGTTAAAACGTTAAAATGTAAAACCGAAGAGAATAACAAATGAAGTAATAAAGGAAGGAAGAATAAATCAATCTTATGATTAAAATCAGATTTCATTAATAAAAACCGAACAACAGACACTACATTACATGTACATTGATTGAAGAGGAGGCTAGACATCCTACCCAGATTATAACTTATTCTTCTGTGATATTATAACTATATCTATGATAGTTTATGAACATTACTATGTTGTCATATATCTAAAATATGTTACCCTTCTGTGATATTATATACACATTACTATGTTGTTATATATCTATAAATGTGTTATACTTCTGTGATATTATATACACATTACTATGTTGTTATATATCTATAAATGTGTTATACTTCTGTGATATTATATACACATTACTATGTTGTTATATATCTATAAATGTGTTATACTTCTGTGATATTATATACACATTACTATGTTGTTATATATCTATAAATGTATTATACTTCTGTGATATTATATACACATTACTATGTTGTTATAAATCTATATCCTTCTCTGATATTATATACACATTGCTATGTTGTTATAAATCTATTAAACTTGTTTTCATATACATTAAACTGTTACAGCAGCGAAACTACTGAAATGCTAAATCATTTTTGTCGAGTTCCTTTTTCCAAACTATTTAGAGAGAGATGAACTGAAAATCTGTAAAAATCTGCACATGATATTACTCAAGAAAATACAAAAAAAAAAAAAAAAACAAATAAAAAATTATTATTAAAATAATAAAATAATAATAATAAAAAAAATATGAAACTCAAACCATAATTTTTAAAAGGCAGGATTTTCCAAAATATACACAATATTATGATGATAATTGGAACACAAGGGATATTACTTTTTGATCATGTGGTCTATATGAGTATTGATTCCCTAATCCATGAAATCGACGTTATATAATAACAAACATTTACTATTTACTTCAACACCACACCGAAAGGACAAAGCAAAAAGTCCAAAGTCGTAGTGATGGCGAGCATTTTACCATAACCATGATTCTGGTGGCAAACATCGCCCGTCAGACAGTCATATCCAAAATATCTATATGATATTTCTGTTATATTCCTAACTCAAATATTTCACCTGAACGCTTAAGATGTTTTTAACTTGCGTATATTAAACAGACGCTTTGGCGATGGAATCTCCGTGTGGTTTGTAAACGTCATAACTTTTCATTCTCTCAAACCAGAGTGTGTTTGAGTGTTATTGATGTTTAAACATAGCCCCTAGGTACTATTAAGTATCTATTTTTGTATCAGTATGCAACTGCAACAATTGTACGTAACATCATAAACAAGTTTATGCCAGGATAATGTGAAATAATATCGATCCTGAGGTTATTTCAGGAACACTTGAGCTCTTAAAAGTGTAAACGTGTTGCACAATATATTGAATTGTATTAAGATTTCTACCATTTGTATCGTTTAGAGAAAATATTAACATGGATGCACGGTAATGGGTTCCATAATAGTATTCATTATTTCATCTTATTTAAATCATATCAAGCAATTTTCTTACAAAAGTACATCTTAAATATATGAAGAACTCGGAGCGATATAGACGGGACTCACAACGTATTATAACCAACCTGATAAAACCTATGTTATAACCTTTTCGCTATACAATATCAGCGGACTCACCGTCTTAACCATTATTTGTTTACAAAACAAAACTTTCATAAGTTCTCTGTTTACTGTCAGAAAATGTGAATTGTAAATGTCAACGATCGACTTTTCTCACGTATAGTATACTTAAATTAGTTTAGATTTCTACACATGTCGAGTTTCAGTTTATTAAGAATTAAAAAAAACTGTTATCATTAATCAGCAAAATGGTTTCATCGCCAAGCGCTCTTTATGATTGTATCACAAACGTACGGGTGATAAGCCTTTGGTTGAGGGATATATGGCAAGCTCCTGATTTCCTTTAACCAGGTCGAAATCAAATACTTGTGATATCCCTAAAGTTCATACTGTAACCGTTCTATTATACCGATACAATCCGGAACGATATCTGAAAATCCGACATGTATGTAAACACCAGGAGATACTAAACCCAAAACCCTTCCTAGCCCCGTATCCTTCGGTCAAAAAGTACTGTCTATAAATTGTTTAAGGTGCTTTTGGTTGCAAGTTTTAAATCGTGTAGGACGCCAAATGTCCATGGAGAAGGGGATCAGGTGACGGATCACGAATTTCAGTTGCATAGTACAATAACTAGCTTTAGTGGCTGTGCGTTGAGAATTGTGTTCATGTAAAAAAAATCTCATGTATATAAAATACTAACACGGCATGATTCACACCCAAAATCAATAAACTAGGGCAATATATGAAAGAAAAAAAATAATTACGCGGAAACTTAATAAGTACAAGGAGAATACAGCCAGGTGTCCCGGAAGAGTAAGCATCATCTGCTTCATCGACGACACCCGCCATGTGATCCTCGCTGAATCTAAGTTATTTCACGGTCTCAAATGAGATAAGGATATGCAACAACAGAACAAACAGACAAACTAACGAAAATCAAACACGTCAAGCTTCATATCGCACAACGAAATAAAATATCTCTCAACGATATGACTATGACGATCGTAAAACGCCCCCATAATCAACTGCGACATGTAGATACTGTTGGCTGGGAAGGCAGAAACGTTGTTATACATAAAGGGAAAGCTCATGATATGGAAACTGAAATCATCACGCTTTCCATACAGCTTGATGTAAAGCTGTCGATGTGGATCTCGTTGTAGGAAAACTGGAGATAATGTAGAAGAGTTGTGACTTTAATAAGCTACGTCGAGTTTGCACAACACTTGGATAACTGAAGGCTCCATTGTACCTCTGATGCGGGTTACTATCACATTTGGAGTAGAGCATTAGGCACTGCTGTATATGCTGAGCCGGTACCTCTAGTCATGAGAATGTGGCCAAGACATTTAAGAATAGTGTTAAACTCGAAGAGGACCCCAGCACAGTCAATAGAATATCTAAATCTTGGGCATCGAGGCCGATTCTGCTAACAGACGTATGGTGACAAAGAGTTAATTGAATTGAAGTTTTAGAATTATAACTAATTAATCAATAGATATGGGGGCCACGTTCATATCGATAGAAATCACGAATTAACATATTTTTTGACTCATTCTCTGAAATTTTGAGGAAACCGCAGCATCAAGATGCTTTATAGCATCACAGGGTGATTTACTGTTGTATACAGGAGACACAGCCATCGACTGTGACATCGCCCAGCAACGCTGATGATCGATGGCTGTATATATTAAATGGCTACGTATAGGGTCAGACAGGTCATTGGTAAATAGCAAATGGATGTTTCAACAAATGACAGTTCTCACACGTTGTTTATTTATAAGCCTTTGGTTTAACAGCCTCGATGCCTAAAATAGTAACGCTGAGAGGGAACAACCAACTAAACTAACAGACATATTAGCACTGAACCGAACAGAGGGTAATTCATTTTCTTGACGAGTGAGAATTGTTAAGGAGAACAACTGGTGTATGAACAAAGGAATATGAAATGAATAGTCGCAAAGATATAAAATCTAAATAAAAGTACCACAGAGCAGCAACTGAAAGGAACAGTACACATTCGAACTATCGTTTATTTTTAACTATTACTCAACTGAAAAGAGTATTTTACCCTCCATCCACAGTATAATATGTAAGTCCATTAAAAGTCCCCATTTCTTGCTGAGAAGTAGAAAAAACGGAGTTTCTCCACTATTTCTCCTATTCAGTATGGTAACTTGATAAGCAAACAGCTTCAAATGGGGTATATCTCCAGTATTCCATTCCAATATGTCTATACTCAAATGTTTTGGACAACAAACATTTACTCTATCAGTGCTCCTCTTACTCGTTTTAAAAATGAATTCGCGTAAATCGTAACAGTCTGTGAAGTATCATATTACGTACCCTCATATCTTCAACTGATTCACAATCAGTATCACAATTGTATACAACGATTAAACATTGTATTTAGCGAATGTAAGATGTATGTTTACCTACCTTTTCTGCATATAAAATCCCCTGGAGAGAATAATACTGGTTTTAAACGTAAGACAAGTTCACATAAAAATCCTGCTTCTGTATTCTGGAAAACCTCCACTCGTTTCAAGGTATCTAGATGGACGTGGATGGCGATTTCAGCCTTGAGTTTATCTGGAAGGAGGGACAGGGTTCTTTCTTCGTCAGTAGATTTATTGCAGTACCATAGATAGTCAAACCACTTAATCACCCGATCCTGGAGTCGAAGAGGTACCCGACGGAGAGACATATAGGTTTTTACGCCGTCAAGTTTGGCTGAAACAAAAAAGAAATCATATACTTAGACAGATCTACGTCATTCAATTATGATGCCAAGCAATTATCATCGTCAAGCATGCAGATATATAATTATCATTATGTTGGTTAAAAGGAGGGGAAAGGAAAGGGAAAAGTACATATCAGACAGTGATAGCAAACTGCAATTATCAATAGCATATGTATGACTAAAACAATGTAGGATTTAAAGTGTTCATGGTTCTATATTTAAGCTACCGATACTGAAATAGAGACCTCGCTATACACATTCTGGTTCGGTTGTGAATGCTGTCAGAATATAGAGTAGAGGTAATTTGACGTTAACGCTGTCAGGACTATTGATACATGGACACTATAAATACAGGAGTACTTTTACATCGTCATGCCACTATGTTCGGTTATAATGAAAAGACTCTAGACATTCGAATTTTTTCTCGGCGTCAAGTTTAGCTATGAATAAAACTCAATTGATTTTTCCAATGTACTTCAAACAAGCAATCAGCACAAGTAGCGAAGGTTTGAATACGCAAGGAAAGTCGTTATATTCTATAGGAAACATAGAGTATATTACATGTACGTAGGAAGTGAAGGAAATAAGACATCTACCAATGATTATAAGTAACAAACAGCTTCAGTAGCCCATAGTTCTACGCCATAATGACGACCAGAGTCTCGTCATCGTCGCTGTATTAACTTAAGTACTGTACAATCCTGTGTAATATTACCCAGTAGACAATATAGTAACCAAAAGGTAAATATTTTCACTATTCTCGGGACTGTGTCAGTAGTTATTTTTCCGTTCGGCAATTTTCATAGGTCTTCACGTTGGTACAAGAACTTCTGGCATAATAGTGAACTGTACATTCACAATGATCACTTTTTTTGACAACAAACACATTGAAATTAGTGCAGTTGTTATATGAAAATATTTTATTTTCAACCATAAAATTGTATTCTCATATTTCCGGTACAGAGGTTTCAGTAACCCGGGTACCGACATGCTTACTAAATGTTCCTGTGTTATGTCCAGAGTTCAACGGACATAATACTTTTGTGTAAGTTTTGGTTTGAGGACGTACTTTGATACAATGAAACAACATTAATGTTTGTAGAATATATAGTTTGTAGTTAGAGCGTCGGAACAACAGATAATTCCGAGAACAAACCATTTAACATTATTGTTCAGATCGCTGATTGGTGTTTCATATTACACGCCTATAGTAAATAATACTTAGCTGTCTAACAATACTTTTGCATCGATACAAGATACTAGTAAACGATGAAATGAACGAAATGATGATGTAAATTGCAGTATCCGGTTCTAACGTGTAACAAACAAGAGATACTCGGAGTCTGTAGTGTCCATATCTGAACTAAGCGTAACACTTTGTAGAAAACGTGATCTTAATATGTAGATAAAGAAGAGCTTGCAGTGTTCATCTTTGAGTTAAGCCTAAACAAAACAATTGCATATTTTACTAGCACGAGACACACAAAGCTTGTACTTTTATTCTGGAGGCATAAAGCTGCATCTAAATGTCTACCATATAACTGGGAACTAAATGGTGTGGAGTTTTGATATCTTTTCCCAGGTTTTCGTACTCATAGCAACCCGACACTTTTAATTTTGGACATCCTGACCTTATGCACATTTATATGACTTACAACACGCTGTACATATATACGCAGTATCAAGGTACCAGACATTTTGATTTCCAACATTATGTAACTGAAAAGTGTTTGTAACACTCTCTCCTAGAAAAGCCCGAGGCCTTGATATATCATGATATCAGTTATTGTTGGGCTGGTAACGCATTGGATTCCTCAAATACTTTCGTGGTTCGATTCCTCGAATGTACGTGAAAAGATATTAGATCACCTGCCCGACCACGTGAGTTTTACATGGGTGCTCCGGTTTCATCCCACATTAAGACCCTTCGCGCGTGAACATCCGGGCCAACAAAAGAAATTGATATCACTTGGAATAACTTGTTTGGCAATAATTGTAAAATAATGATGAGAGTATCATTATATTTGATTCTACTCAGACGTCTTATGTTCTCTAACATATTCCGAATCTTCTATTCTTCAAATAGCAATAAGACATGTGACATTGAAAGACGACGAACACAGGAATAACGTATTGCACGATACGCGCTAGCCAAATCGATTAGCTCACGTGCATTTCGTGTTAGGTAAGCCAAAAATTCCCCGAAAAAAATAAAGCTTTTAACTTTCATAATTTCTTATTATCGTACAAGATCATTGTTCATCGACAGCGAAAGACATTGTTACTCTGTCGTTTTGAGGGATGATATACAGTGTTTCATAGTCAAGCCATAAAAAATACCATCATATCCTACATAGAAACCATGTATCTTAATTACCCGACCTGATATTCAAATGTGTTTACAAATTGATGTAGTATGCGAACTTCATTCTTGTTACAAGCTGACGCGATGCGGTCCTACAATCTCCCAAGGGATCCTTCTTAGTGGAGGCAAAAAAGTTCGCCTCAGGGGCATTTTCGTTTCTGAATACACTATCATTATTGTGAGCCTACGGGAGTCAAAACCTGAGTCCAATTACCCACGTAGGTAGGCACGGCTGTTCAGGGCTTTTCTTTGCACCCCGGGCTGACAGAAGAAAAATTGATCATTTCTCTCGCATCGCAATCAGACTTTCCAGCCAAATACATCGGGACTAAGAATCAATACAGTGGCTCACTCTCATTTTGTTGCACACACGATCAGTCTCGGCAAGCACCTTGCTCTATTTAGTAAGAGCCTATTATTTTCAGTAATAAAATCGTCAACACTACAGATAGTGAGTCTTACAAATAACACAATTTTGTATTATATCAATGTTAATGTTAAAACGTTCGCTATTGAGTGTATTTATTGGTAAGGAAGGACACGACTTTGAAGCGTTATGTTTTTTTCAGAAGATTCACGTTAACAATGCTTTAAGAGCTGGGTCCTGGTTTGGCTAGTGTTAGAGCCGATAACACATTCTTCTCTTTATATTTATTTCGGTTTCTCAGCTTTTACAGCACCAGTTCAGTCAGTTGTTGAATTTTGTCGATAATAGCGAGATTTTGTCGCCGTGAAAAACATTTTTTTTCCTTTTATTTTTCTAAACGAAGAGCCATCATTTTCAACTTAATTGTGTCAAGAATAGGCTTCAGCAGGCTTACGTTAAGCGTTTTTTTGTTGTTCTCTTCGTTCATCTGTCAAATGTAGTCCTGGTCCGTTTAAACATCTCTACATTGATGAATAAATCTTCTAATGAACAGAAATAGAAGGAAATTAAGAACATTATATGTCGACAGCTGTGAAATGTAGCACATCTTTAAATAATAGAACAAACGACCCCTTACCCATCAGTCAGAAGATATTTATCTCAATGGTATAGATATAATACTAAGCTGGAAAAGTATATATTATCTGTTGTAATCACACAATAAAGCCCCAATAGATTCCCCATACAACACACTGAAATTCACCTCAGAGTTAATATTTGATTAAGCATCTTTGAAACACCATCTACAGATGGATTTTTACTTATCATAAAGGGCCGTTGGTGTCAATCGGCCGACAGGATAATGGGGACACTTTATATCATCGTTCATGATTAGACCTGGCAACGATTACGTTCTATGTGTGTGATTTTACTTATGTAATATTGTGTGTCTTGATACAGAACAGATTGCCTGGAAGATTTGACGTTTTAGCTGTCCGTCCTGTCGTTATATCATCTTTGTTATAACTATTACCACACCAATTTCATAGGTATGTTGTAACAACACTTGTAATAACACATCGTACAGATAGCGATTGGCTTACAATCTGATTATGGTGTCATTATTACGTAATATGCATTATTATAAAATTCTAAATTGAATTTCGTTTTTAATTTAGAATTTTTAATATCCTAATAAAATTATTGTTTCGCGAATGTTTGAAACAGTTTCGGAATTTTCTGATAAATGAATCTTATAGTGGTTTCAACTAAAATGAGGATTAATGAAACTCGTGTTTTTGTTTTTTGTTGTTGTTTGTTTTTCATTTCACCACGGTAAAGTTTTGGCATAATGAAAAAAAAAATCTTTGGCACGTTTCATTAGTTTTATATGAAATGGAAACTATCCGCTCTCTACACATCACGTGATCAAAGGACACTTTGTGGACGACCAAGTCAGACGTCTGGTATTCTGTCCTTCAACAGAAATAGTAAATCTGCGATGACTCTACTGTCAATAGTTTGTCTAGGCAAATAACCATTTTTCAATGACGCTCATCCCACTTACGGTATGATATATCTGCCAGGCAAGTTAGAACACCACTTTTCCATCCAATATAATGAGCACGGTCAAGGTCAGTTATATATATATGGCAGATTCGTAGACTATACCATCCACCTGCGTTCCCTGTGTCCATCAAAATCTTTTGAAAAAAAAAAAAATCCAAACAAGTCTTCGTGCATGTCTACGTTGTATATAGATTCTTATCTGAATGTGCAAAATCTAATTTTCTTATAATTGTTGACAATGTTTTGTATTCCAATAAAACCTGTTTCGAGGATATTTCCTACACATTGATCACATTATTTCTGAACTCCGCCAAGGCTATATGAAACACTATCCGATAAAAAGAACGATACTTACACCAGCTTATTCAGCAGCCAATGTGTCATGTCTGGGGTTTTCGATGTGTTCATATACATGTATAGTGTATGTGATATGTTTTTAAAATGTATTCAATGTGCTACATGTAATGTATGCTATGTGCTATGTTTACTGTATGTAATGTATTATGCATAGTGTATGTAATATGTAATGTATGTTATATTCTATGTATACTCTATGTAATGTGTAATGTATGTAATGTGTTATGTATGTTATGTGTATAATGTATATATTGTTTATGTAACGTGTATTAATGTATTATTTATAGTGTACATAAAGTATGATGTGCAGGGTAGGTAATATTTGTTGTGGT